CACTGGCTGCCAAGAGCACCTCACAAACAAGTGCAACATTGCTGTCTTCCAAAACCCAAGTGAGTGCCCCAGCATCAATGTCCAAGAGCAGCACTCAGGTGGGCACCTCGCTGCTGCTGGCCCCCAAGAGTGGCACTCAGGCAGGCACCTCGCTGCTGCTGGCCTCCAAGGGCGCTAAGGCAGGCTCCTCACTCCTGGCCTCCAAGAGCAGTGCCGAGGTGGCTGCCTCGTTGCTGGCCGCTCGGAGCGGTGCTCAGCAGGGATCTGCACTGCTGACTTCCAAGAGCAGCGCTCAGGTGGCTGCTTCACTGCTGGCTGCTCGGAGCAGTGCTCAGCAGGGTCCTTCGTCACTGGCCTCACGGGGTGGAGCTCAGGCAGGTGCTTCCCTGCTGGCATCCAAGGGTGGCACGCAGGCAAGTTCCCCACAGCTTGCCTCCAAGAGTGGCTCCCCCGGGGGCGGAAGACCCGGTCACGGCTCTGGGCAGGGCGAAAGCCCTGCTAAGGCTTTGCGCAAACCGTTGACCAGCGAAGACGTGAAGGAAAGACAACCTTTTTTCAACAGACTGTACAAAGCTGTAGCCTGGAAACTGGTTGCTGTTGGAGGCTTCAGTCCCAACGTAAATCACGTGGAACTTTTAAACTCATCTATTCAGTCTGTAAAAGCTACTTTAGATGTTGCTTTTGTTCCCCTGAAGGAACTTGCAGACTTGCCTCAAAATAAAAGCTCTCTGGAAAATATAGTTTGCGAACTGAGGTGCAAGTCAGTCTACTTGGGTACTGGCTGTGGTAAAAGTATGGAAAATGCCAAAGCAGTTGCTTCAAGAGAAGCTTTGAAGCTGTTCCTCAAGAAGAGAGTTATTGTGAAGATCTGTAAAAGAAAATACAAAGGTAGTGAAATTGAAGATTTGGTACTTCTGGATGAAGAATCAAAACCTTTGAATTTACCTCCAGCTTTAAGAAATCCTCGTGAGATCTTGTAGGGGAGCTTTGCTGTTTGTACTGTGTATAGTATTTCAACACAAGGACTGAAGGTTAATTTTGTACTTTGAAAACGTAGGCTTACAGATATTTTGTATTTTTTTCTCAGTTTTGCAAGACAACGATAGTCCTTTCACTTGGTAGCAATTGTATAAAACTTGTTAGAGATGACAGGTGCGCATTTAAAGGTATGCCTTAATATATAGCACACTAGTGTGCTGGTCTGTTTGCAAAATAGTCTACCTAATTCTTCTATTTTTAATTGATTAAGGTAAAATTTGCTGTTTAAAACCTGACAGTTTTGTAATTCTTACGATTTGATGGCAGTGTGCTCAATTGTCTACCATGTCTTTTTTAGCCGCGTAGGAGTGTGTATATAGGGACCATAATACTTGAAAGTTGTTTAAAAACTTCAGTCAAAAAGTTGAATTCCTCTGTTTCAGGCTTGTTCATAATGTTCACTGTTGTGCATACTAGGAGAGAAAATTGTTGGTTGACTATTTTCATGGGATGTTTTTGTAATGCTCGCAGTATAAATGACACCCTGATCCCATTTAACATTACACTGGCAAATCACCAATTGGCAGTCAAGTCTCAGCTACTTTAGCCACCAGAACTCTGTAAGCAAGTTTAATTTATATTGTGAAATACCATTTGCTGATTTTTCTGGAGATAAAATGGATTTCTATATTAAGCATATTTTGACTGCTACTAAAACCTCTGGGATGTGCTTTTATAGTACTTTGATTGTGGCTATCAACTATTCCAGCCATTTCAATAACTTTGCAACACCTGAATAAAAGCTTTACTTTGAGTGGCCTCAAGGTGTAATCCCACAAGGATGACTTGTTTTCTTTGGACTCATGGCTGCAATACTGTAAACTGATAGTGGACCTATAGAATACCTATTTCTACTTTTGTAATGCCAAGATGAGCAAAATGAAGATGTCTCTGGTAGAGACAGTGAGTGCATTGTGAAGCATTCACGCTAGCTGAGCTCTCCCTTTGCTACATTTGTACGCCATGTACTGAGTGGTTTGGAGCAAAGAAAGCAGGCAATTACCTTTTATTTTCAACGTTACTGAAATACCTGCGCAAACTGCATGTTGTGATATATTGGATAATGACATGTAATTGTAAAAACATAATGTCCTCAGTGCTATTTTGACTTGATCTTGTCCAATGACAGTAGTTAGCATCATTTAGTGGTGACCTTACACTTGATTGACATATCCGTTGATTGGATACTGCAGGAGTGAATATAAATTCCTGGGGTCTCAGTAGTAGATGCATCCACTGAAAGACTTCAAGTTCTTCTGTGATTCTGGGACTGAACCACAGCAGCGTTGTTACACTGTACCCGATGTGATCCTGAACAGCGGTGGCTGCCCAGCCCCTAGCACCTGAAGTCTGCAAGGCACTTGCGCTTCCCAACGGCCTGTTCAGAACTTCCTCCATCTGACCCCTGCGCTTCTGTGCTCTCCTGAGGTTTCTCAGGCTTTCCTCCTCAGTGTTTCTGGAGCACGACCTGGCATTTGGAAAGCAAATTGTGTCTTATGCAGCATGAGATTTGGCGCGTGCTTCTGGTGCAGAGCACGTTCTGTGCTGTATTTGGGAGCTGCGGTATTCATACGGGAAGCACAGTATCTGTTTTCAAATCCTCACCCTGTTCAGGTGGAGATGCAGAGTGTTTTTGCGGGGCAGGAATAGCATCCTCTGAAGTATTCTTCAATCTGAAGTGCCCTCTGAAGTAGGTAACAGCTTTTCTAGCTGTTGTTTTGGGCATCGCCAGGTCTGTAGTTGAGAACTGCAGCACATGTTGCAATGTGAAAACCTGTGTTTCCTGATGTAAAGTGAAACGCAAAGCATTTACAGAGCTCGTGGGGGTGGCAGGGTAACTGTTTTGAAAGGCTGAGGTGCTAGATGCTTTTTTATTAAGTCCTGACTCAAGCTTACCTTTTTTAAAAGATTTTTGAATGTTATTCCTCTTTGATGTTTGGTTGTGATTCATTAAAGGATGAGTCTGTAGCTACTCTTAATAGAAACTGAAAGTTGAAGTGTGTTCTTTTTATTTCATGTTCTGCATGGAAAGCAGCCCAACAAGCAGATTCTGACATACAAGTAAATAAGCATTAATATTTGAAAGGAAATCATTGACATTTGATTAACTCTAGAGAAGAGTGAAAGAATTTCGAAGAACTGTCCGTGGCAAGAGGTGTTTGTGCAGTCCCGTCAGTCCTACAACCTCTAGCTCTCCCTGCCAGGTGCTGTGCTGGCCCCTAGCAGTAACTGTCAGACCTTGCTGCGGAGGAGCAGCTAGAACAAATGCACTAACGTGAGCGCGCGCGCAGTTGTCTTGGGGACAAACGAAACCGTGCAACCGAAAGAAAAAGCGACGCTGTTTCCTCAGCAGGGTGCGGGAAGCTGCAGTCACGGCAGATGACACTCGTTTGCCCCGCGGGCCGCCGGCACAGCTGGGGTGCGCTGTCGGTACCGGGGTGGGGGCCATCGGCTAAAGCGCCGTGTTTTCCAGCGGCGGCACAATAGGGTGCCGCGCGGCGCGGGCCAC